CAGAGTAAAGTACTAAAATACCTCTGGGGGTAAAATACCTCTGATTGGTTGTCGGAAAGGGACGTAATTGATGGTTGTCACCCGAAGCTTGGTGGCATGAAAGTGAGATTCTCAACGGTCCTGACCAGAGGTTCTCTCCGCTCGCTGCTTTGCAGCTCGTTGGTCGGCGCTTCGCGCCGAATTCTCGTACTCCGGTAGAGAGAAGAGAACCTCTGGGACCTGGGTATAATTTTCTGTGCCCAGTCAAAATACGGAAAATCGGCCGCCATCTTGACCCACGACCGAGTTTAAAGAGGAATGGCTCTAGCGGGTAATGTGATGTCAAATCGAGAACACAAAAGTCTACACTTCACACATTTTCACTTGTTTGGGAAGGTTGTCGTCGATATTGTCCGAAATATGCCGACTAGGTGTGTTGTATGAGGAATGTATGAAGTGCGATACCCTCTTGCAAATTTCGCACGTTGCTATATCCTTCTACAACACACTTAGTCGGCATATTTTCGGATAATATCGACTACAACCTTCCCAAACAAGTGAAAATGTGTGAAATGCAGACTTTCGTGTTCTCGATTTGACGTCACATTACCCGCTAGAGCCATTCCTCTTTAAACTCGGTCGTGGGGCAAGATGGCGGCCGATTTCCCGTATTTTGACTGGGCACAGCAAATTGAAGATTTGAGCAAACAAAAACATTTTTGCACAGAAATACTCCAAAAAATACGCTTATTTCGTTAAGCGAAAAACATTTTTTGGGTTTAGGTGCACTTTAAAAGCATGGAACTTCTTTGGCAAAGCTCAGAACAGAATGGAAAATAATCAACCGGATACCCGTACTAGATAAGCCTTGTGTTCGGAGAGTCTCGAGTTTTCCTTTTCTCCACTTTTCTTTCCTTTCACAGATTTCTTTAAAAATTCACAAACGTTTGCAAGTGAAACTGAAAAATTGCGCTAAAATAATGACTGTCGAGATTATATGCCTTTCCAGGGCTCTTGCCTTCGCCTTGCACACACCCTACTCGTGCATATCGCGCGAGAGATTCTATGCTTTTGATCCTCATGCCTTACGACAGTTCTGAAATCTTTCATGGAGCATTGTTTCTTGTCAGTAGCAGAGCTCGGAAATTCCAACCGCAAATAAACAGCATACCCGGTTGTTACTCACTTGACAAAGTTAATTTTGTTTACGCTGGGAAACCCATACGAAGCTCTCGTTACCTTTAATCTGTAGATTTTCTTTCCACCTGCAGGTAGTGGAATCACCTTACTTTCTACAACAACTCCATCCTACATAAACAAAGATGAAATAAAAAAGAAAAAAAGGAGGGGAAAAAAGGGGAAAAAAGAAGTTTAGTTAACACGCTTTTTGTGGCAATTCTCAACAGTTCTCCTTGCTCAAAAAGATTTTCAGTTTCATTTTTCCGATCCTCACCTTAACTTTTTCCGTTTTCCAACCATCATTAAAACGCATCCTTTCCCAGGTTATTTCCATTGTTTCTTTCCCTTTCTGAATATATTCTTGATCCTTAATAGCCACACAGATGAACAAAAAGAGATTTATTTAGAAGATTATAAGATTGTGCAGAAATTCTTGAGGTACGCCTGTGAGCACGCGAGACATATTGGAACAGGAATTCGATGAACAGTTTGGAGTCTCTCGTATCGAAGAGCCTGGGTCCAGTACACGGAATCAAGACTTAGAACTTAATTTACCACGGAAAAAAAACAACAACAACAACAACAACATAAAACGAAAAATACCGTCTATTGTCTTTTCAAAGTGTTCTACGGCAATAAAAACAAGAGTTCCTACTCTAGACACTAAAGTAAAGGGAAAAGGCTAATAAAAAAGCGCCAAACCACGAAAGGACACTTCGTCTGCTTTTCATCCTTGTTTTATCCTCAGAAAGTTCACCAGAATTTCTCGATTAGGTTTCCTGCACATTTACATGTAGTTGGGCCAGTTTTGATACCCAGTATGCACCCGAAGTGAGGTTGATTTGAGTAACATGTGTTAGGGTGTTTGATAAGAAAAAAACTCAAACATTAGCGACTTCTGATGAAAAAAGATTGATTTAGCAAAGGAAACAATCTGAGTTCCAATGAGGAATCGAGTCTCAAATCTCTTTTCAAAAGCGACTGATAACAAAAGGAAGTTGAGCAGAAAATCATCCACTAGGAATGTTCGTGAGAGACGGCTACCTCTTGAGACAAAGCTAAATTTTCAGCTCCTTCTCTTTCATTTTCACTTTCCTCGTCAGAGGCTGAAAAAGATCAAACCAAGTCGACTTAAATAAAAATTTTATTATATCTCCACAGTTATTCGCTAAGAACTTGTTTGACAAGTTTAACATAGATGATAAAAATTAAAAGATAAAGAAAAACACAAGTCTCATGACATCGTAGGACAAGTCAAAATATAACAGGAAATAAATAACATCAAACCAACCTTCTGGCGTATAAAAGGCATTGTCCGAAATTGTCGAATAAGGAGTTAAATGCCTGCAATAGAATTTGTATTTGTATTTAAAGATTCGTACAGTACAGTGTACAGGCGAGAGAACAATAGAATATGTAGTCCCCTACTAGGTTCACCCGCCTAAACCAATCCCAACCCACCCATTCCACCTCCAGGGGAGGACATCCATCCCACAGTAATCTCGTGCGTGGGAAATTAACGTCTCCTACCCCTAACCCTGCAGGAGACGGGACCTCCATTTTATTCGTCCCTATCCGAGAAGACTAGAATATCTAACCATTTCTTGATGTTATAGAAAGGTAGCATATTCTTCTCAATTATTTTTAAGACCTTGAGTGTTGGTCCGGCCGGGGCTCGAACCCTCGACCTCCCGCACAACAGTCCAGCGCTCTATCCATTGAGCTAACTGGGAGGCCGGGCTAATTGAGAGCAACATATTACTCTTAACCCCTGGACCCCTTGGGGTGACCAACAGCCAATTTCTCCTTACATATCCCCCCTGAATAACACATTAAGGTCATGAGAATAAAAGAAAGGATCGCCAACCAAGGAAGCTCTTGATTGTTTAACACCTTCTCTCGGAAAGCACTTTATAAAATGTGTTGAGAACAGCATGGAGATCACGACTGCTAATGCTGGAGTGTAAAGAGTTAAAAACAACTACTTTCCTATTATAAGTGTACTTAGATACGGTTACTCCCGTAAACTGGGTATGAATTCAGTGACGTTTCGCTTACCCATTGCAAGTCTCCTTCGTAAAAAAGAGGTAGGCTGTAGGTAATCTGTACGTTATATCACTAAAAGCCATCTTACCTGGCTACGAGTTTTGGAAAAAAAGAAATAAGTGCTTCCCATCAATCAAGGAGCCTCTTCGAGTCGAAGCTCTCCCCCTCCACCCCGGGTGCCAGGTCCCCAGGTCCCTGAGTCCTCGTATGGTAATTTGAGGATTCACCAAGTAACCGACCATGAAGACGAAGTAACTGAGAATACGTATGATGCACGATCCTCGCAGTAGATAGCGCTATTTAAGCAATAGCGAAAATCAGACCTGAAAAAAATCAGGCCTGTACGGGATTCGAACCACTGACCTCTGCGATACTAGTGCAGCGCTCTTACCAATTGAGCTAACAAGCCAACTGGGAGCAGGCCTTTAAGTTGATTCGTAATAAACCCGTGAAAGTGATAAATCAGATACAATGAAATATATGAAGCTCATATATTTCATTGTATAAATATATGAGCTTCATATATTTCATTGTATCTAACTGAGAATAATTGGCTAAACAGTTGAACGCTACAAAACCTTCATTTCTGGCTTACCTGCGGTTTTCATTATGTAACAATGACCTCCTCTCTTCTGCAGAGAATGAACAAGAGATAGTTATTAACACACCGTGAAAAATCAAATGAAATTACTGAGCGTAAAAACAAAGGCACACTTCTCTTACCAGGGGTATTTAAGAATAGCACATGAACGGCACATGAACGGGTATTGCAAAGCGTCCCTAACCATTTCTTACCCATATCTGTCCGAAGGATATACAGTGTACATCAAACATAAGCAAGGCTTTTATTAGGGCGCGCTGCGAACATAATAAGGTTGCGCAAATTTAACCCCTTCATAAAAAAGGCTCTACAATCTTAAGTTTTTGATTTTCTGAAAAACATGTTTTTACAACTTATTCCGGCATAAATCCGGATTACAGAGTCCACATCATCTGGTTTGAGGTAATACTGGTAGTAGCTATCACAAATAATATTTTTTCCTTTTCATCCCAAAGTTTGTTACTTTGGGAAAATTAAAGAGACAGATCAGAACACTTAGAACCATTTTAAGTGTTACAGAGAATCGCTCTTTACTTTCAGTAAAGTAAGTATATAGGCAAATAGGAAGGCAAACAAGCACTTTGGTCTATTATCTCAGACTTAGAATGCAAATATCAACAGAAAACGCAAAAAACGATTATGTGCTGAAGATTATGACTCTGACAAAAACACGGGTTCCAGTATTCAGAAACGTCATAGGTTTTACTATTCAACTATACGCGGTTGTCACACGGTCGAACATTTCTCGCGCAGCACGGTGAAAAACAGGCGGGCATGAACAGATAGCCCAAGAATTATATAGAGGACAAAGCTTAAGTCTAAAACCGAGCTTAACGGCCGTAAACCTGCCCAGAAATTTCACACGATGCAAGGGAACAACCACAGAAGCGAGAAAGTTTCTTTTTATCCATAACAGGTCAGATTTTCAAGTTGATCAAGATGAACAGGTAGTAACTTAGCTACTTTGGACAAACAAGTATTGAATATACCTTGAAACTGACGCTGCTCCTCTTTCGTCTCAGCAGGGATAACCTGAGAGATTCAAAATATATGATCTTTTTAATCAAAGCTGGGAAAGTCAGCATGTTGGATTTAGATACCTACATATGGTACTTTTTTAGAATGTTTGTTTGTTCCGTACTGGATCACATATGACCTCAAGATGTTGTAAGAACAAAAAAGTGGCCCACGAGGGGCAGAGGAGTGTTTCACTGATAGTTTTACCCCATTTAGACGTCTTCTGTTATCTATTACTGCACAAACCCACGGCAACATGGAATCTATTTTTCTTATATAATCAAGAACCAAAAAGTGGTAACAGGTGACGCCATCAATGCGTCTGTCCTCCCATACATGAAAGTAGAGACTTTAAGCAAACCACGACGGTTACGGCAACGAGAACGTTGGAAAACAATGTATCTAATTGGCAGAACAATAGCCCAGCACGTGCGTTTTCAAACTTTGTACATTTCTTAGCCGTCCTTTACAAAACAACAACGTGAAATCACCAAAATTTGCGCCGTCTGTGAAGCTAAACTGCGGTGGCAAGTTAATTTAATTTACATTTGGAACTCAACGCTACTTTTATGCGTTAGGTTGAGTTTGAGGTCTGGCGTCCTATGAGACGGTAAACACATCCAGCCATTTTCGAAATTCTAACTAAAAGTAGAAACTCATTTTTTAATCGACGTCTTCCGTGGCGTTGCCGTCCTGACTGCTTAAAGTCCCTAATGCCAATCAAAATACGAGTGTAATTCATATGCGTAAGGTCAAGATGGCTTAATATTTGCCGAGTTCCTTTTTTTTTTTTCCTCTTTATGGACCGCAACGAAGTTTAAGTTAGGGGTATTATCATCCAACTGTGCTTCGTAGAGTAAAAATAACGCGCGAGAGGAGTACAAATAACGCGCGAAACGAGTACAAATAAAACGCGATATTTGTACTTCAGATATATCCGCGAAATTCACCCGCACTGAAAGAACAATTTGGCGTGTTGGATTAAAAATCTCTTATTAGACGTTTTGTTGTGTAGTATCGTCGAGTATTTTTACTCGTTGTTTGTATTTTGACTCGCCCAACGGGCCCGTCAAAATACGGCAAAACTCGTAAAAATACTCAGCGATACTACACAACAAAACGTCTAATTAGATATATTTATTACTCCACTTGGATGAGATGTCAGTTCATTCCAAGGTAACCCCACAGAATTTCGTCGGGCTTCACTGATAATTCGCCGACCGCCAATTATCCACCTGGGTGAAGAGGAGCACTGTGGGAATAAAGTGTATTACCCAGGAACACAACACAAAGCCGCGGTTAGGTCTCGAACCCAGACCCCTCGACCCTAGGTCCAGCGAGCTGACGGTAAGACCACAGCGTCGCCCACTGAGGCTATCTTCAAGGGCTTATATCTTCCCTTTTTTTTTTCTCTTAACCGTTATGGCCAGAGTATGTTAGGTGGCTCAAACATAATTTTTACCAAAATTATCAGCAGACCTACAAACTTAAACTAACAAAACAAGAAAACACTACGGCGTGTTGCAGAGTAGAGCAGTTTTCAATTGACTGTTGAAAAAACGCATAACCAAAGTAATCACAGCGACCAATCAAAAATAATGTTTACATCATCATTTGCCAATGAGCACTCAAAGTACAAATCGGCAAACCATCAAAAAACGCGGGAAACGCGGGCTACCAAGTCACGTTTGGTTTTCTTTTTGCGTCTGATTGGTTAAGAGGATGGTGTACGCTTTCTAGACCAATCACAGACCGAATCAATGCAAAATAAAAAAATCTCGCATTACTTTCGAAATTCAATTCAAAATTGCTCTAATAAATAGTCATTTGTGATACATACCTTAGAATCAAGAACCCAAACTTCCACCCACGATAAAATAAGTGACGATAAAACTAGGACATAGTACAAATATTCGCTCCCTCTGTCCTTCGATTTTGGAGGCTGCACAAAGAACAAAACAAAAACGTAATTAAATGATGGTACTGTGTTCAATTCCTCTTTAATTTTTTAATTAAATTAAGATTGGACGTTTAGTAATCATTATTTGGTGAAGTCTTCAAGGCATTGCAGAAGAAGAAGTAGGAAGGAAAAAGTTACAGAGGCAATTTGTGTAAGTCTACTCCAGGTGTCAAGTACCAGTAAACTGTAACCTGAAGTTAAAAACATCAACACAAGTGACCAACACAGAATTTCTCCTTACCAAATTCAATACAATATTCAGTAGAAAGGTGACGAGAATAAAGAAAAAAGTGTCAGTTAGGAGATTACCGGTAGTAGTTTCCAGTTCTAAATTCTCCAAGGTAACATTATAAGAATTGTATGAGACAGTGATAAGAATTACGAATGAGATCTTAAAGAGTGAAATGGTTCAAATAACTTAAATGAGGGTCAATTCAAGCATTAGTTGAACAAATTAGTCTTGGTAGTGACACGATCTCCAGGGTAATTTGGTGTTAATAAGCACAAGTAACTCTTTCAAAGACAAGAAAATTGCACTAGCCTGTATGGTAAGTGCAATTTGCAGTCTCTGAAAAATTCACAAGTGCCCGTTCGATCCAAATTGCTCTTGAAATCATCTTGTTACTTGTTCATAAGTTGCTTGAAAAAAGCATCACAGAAAGTCAAGACAGGTAAAATTTTGATAGCATGCATGCTATTTGTAATTTGCACTTGTGTTACAACTTTGCACTCCTGTTACAACTTTGCACTTGAATTACAACTTTGCCCTTATGTTACATAAAAATGCCCTCATTTTCAGCCAATCAGATGCTCATAACTTTTTCATGTATATCATTATTATTATTATTAGATATCAAACTTGAGTAAAACAGGACTTGATTCTTAGTGTGTGAATTATAGGAAGAGGGATTTCTTGTTTCTTTATAACAACTTAGTTTGCATTATAGGGATCAGTACAAATTGCAAATTGCAAGCAGAGTGTCAACAGAGAAGGAAAAAAAATAGCTCGACAAGATCTGATGACCTATTATTTTATTCACCGCTCAAAGGAAAATGGGGATTGTTATGTATCAGCAAATGGGAAGCATGAAATACAAATCAAAGTAGCAACTGGCAACTGATGCAACATGTAAATCTCTGTGTGTTTCAAAAGGGAAGAAGAGACAATTTGTACGGGAAAAAGTAGCTGATCAAAAGTCACTTATAATCCTTTTTTCCAGGCTCCCCTTTAACTCCGATTTACTGTGCACTAAACAACTGCTCTTGAATAGAACAATTCACTATACCCCTTTGGTAAAAGAGTTCATCAAAGAAAATCATTTTCAAAAGAACTACAAAATTATGTTAGTACAGGGCTCAACACTAACTTTTCAACTTACTAACCAAGTGGGTAGTGACAACTTAGATGTTACAACAATTTCAGTTTGTTTACTAGCAAAACTGGTGTGTGGAAATTGAAAACCACAAGCCAGAACTGAATTTCTACTAGTCTGTGGCTAGTTGGCTACAGTTAGTGTCAAGCTATGTGAGCAGTCAATTTTTTTAAAAAAAATTTGAGAACTAATTGAAATTGATACCCAGCTATTGTACCTAGTAATAATAGTAGCCTTTTTGCATAGTTTTCATTACATTCCTACTATTGAGTTTCACTAACACATTTCTAAAAATGATATCTGTCTAAGTAAATCAAATTGGCTATCCTTCTCTTACTTTTACAAAAATTCCATTCTTACACTAATGCACAAAGTGTATTTTGAAACTTCGTGTCAATCGGTTCGAGAACTTTTCTCTAAAAAGACAACTTCTAGGTCAACTCGCTTTCCTGATCACTTTAATATCATTAGGTTTAAATCTGATACTAGAAGAAATACTTACAGTACAGAAGTCCTGTAACCTGGAATTTTTTAAGTAGACTAGTTTAAGTGCCTGAAAATTTTAATTCCTATAGGCAGATATTAAACAAACACACCAGGGACATTGCAGAGTATTATTTTAGCAAAGAAGCGAGATTGATAACTGCAAAAAAAGATGATTTAATATACTTTTAAGCATTTTATTTTCTGGTATTATATTATTATTTCAATTTGGCTCTTGTAAATCTCAGTTTTTTGCATGTATATATATTGTTTTCTCCCTGTGCATAGCTTTTATTCTTTTGTTAACATCTTTTGTGTTTGTCAAATTTTAATTGTGTATAGTAGGTCCACATCAGCCCTTCGGCTGCCAAACAATCTCAACCTACTTATCAAATAAAGTTTACCTTTACCTTTAAATGTCATCAAATTCATGAGGTAAACCTACCTGGAATTCCATGAGTATGGCTTTGACTAGAAGGAACACAGTTGAGCCACCAGTTGTCAGCTATACAAGAAAATCATATCAAGGATTTCAATACAATTTGATACAATTAATTAACTAACAGGAGGGCACCAGGATATGACATGGGGGCAGAAAAATATGTAAGACCTAAGGGGCCTTTCTAAGCTGGGGGGGGAGGGGATCTGGGGGCTTGCATCCTCCTCAAATTAACAAATCAAAAGTAGTTCAGCATGGTTAAGTGTCAGTCAGCAACAAATTTTGACTGCTGTGATGACAAATATTGTTTTCAATAAGAGTATAGACCAAGCTAAACCACTATCAATAAAGGACTCTTGATGAAGGCAGTTTAATGACATTTTGACAACCCGAACAGAAGTCATGAACAGAGTTCAAGGGAACCTTCAACCTTTTAACAAATAGTGCTCAAAATGTGCCAAATGTACTTCTCATTAGATCTGGCATAAAAAATTGCCTCACCAAGCAATCTGAGTTTTTTTATAGTTTTCCAGAGAAGGGACCAACATGCACTTGAAATTTCCTGGGGTGACCATTTTAAATAGTGCGCAATGCACTCTGGTCTGATGACATGTGATGTTTCCTTGGTGCACTTGTGGTGTAGTGTTCTACTCTGACTTGTTCATGCTATATTGCTGTCATCTGAAAAAAACTTTTTAGTGAAAATCTTACAGATCCCTCCCCATCAGTTGGAGTTGGAGCTGGAGCTGGAGCTGGAGCTGGAGCACTTCAAGTAAAGAGAGACAGGAAAGTGAAGTAGACGATGATGAATATGGCAAAGCGTCAGGTTTTAATTGTGAAAGTGTCCATCACCAATTGAACACATCATGGTACTTATGGGTTCATCTGCTCAATGTTGAGAAGTACATTTAGAACACTTTGAGCAATTATTTGCAAGAAGAGTGATGAGTTGCTAGTCAGTCTGAGATCATGGGGCTTAAGCTTGTGGAAACTGATTGGTCAATTGCTCTCGTTGTTGGGGTGACTGATTCACGAGCGTTTTGTCCTGCACAAAGCATTTACGAACTAAAATTTGTTAAATGTTATTTTCAGTGGCATTTCCCTGCTTTATCATCATCACAATGCATATGACTGTTGCACTAACAATACAACTGTAGATAACTCTACGCAGGTATGAGTTAGCCTGCGGTACAGGTGTCTCATTAATCAGAGCAAGTTAACATTACCAATTCATAATTGTTTATCTGAGGGCTTGAACAAGCCATGTTTGATTTACAGTGGACAGAGAAAAGCCCTCCTCTCTTCCCCTCTCCTTTCTTTTGACCATCACTCATCCCATTGATGCAAATCTCTCCCCAGCCTCCCCCTGCTTTAAAAATCAGTGATGACTGCAGCTATAAGTTTTCCCAAGAAAATGCTGAACACTTGCAATTACACCTGCAGTACAGAGATAGTCGTGTACAAATCTGTCCCTACTTACCCCTACTGCATACCATTTTCGGCTCACATAAAGAGCATAAACAAGAAGAAGAACTATCATCCGCCATAATGCCAACAGCTAAACAAGCAAGTTACAGCATGAGTTAGCAATCTAAAAGATTTTTTTTTTTTTTATTTTTGAAACTAAATTCCCTCAAATGTAACCAACAAATTTGAAAATTCAAATTTTAAAAACCTTGCTGGCTAGGCAAGCACGCTGCTTAGGTTAGTTACCAGCCATAGGCAAGATACAATTTCTCGGTGCAGGCTTATATAATTTGCAACTTCTACTAAACTTTTTCATATTATGAAACTATGAAAACTGTGAACAATAAAAATACTCCAGGAATGTTATTGTGTTGAAGAAAATTAGCCAATCGAATGTGGCAAAATCTGAATTGCACCCTACATTTCTTAAAAGTTTATGTTTTTGTAGTTTGCTTTCATGCGCTGATTAATCCCACATGATTGGTTTTGACAACATGAATGTTCTTGACATATTGTGCTTGTTATTGCTTTCTGGTTTTGACAACAACTAAAAAAATTACCAACAGCTGTAACCTAGCATTGGAGGCACATAACACAGAAATTGCACATCTAGAAGAGGAAGTTTCACACTAGTTTTGCACTGAAGAAAAGTTGATAAGCACAAGCTTAATTTTGGCCATATCTAAAAAAAATTTTGTTCACCATTCTTGGTCTGTAAATATGGCTGGATAATAGCATTTCTTTTTTTTATCTATGTAGATGACTATCCGTGATGAAGATTACATCTAATAAGAAAAAATCCCAACAGAGTTAGTACTTACCACTACATCAAACACAGATTTTTTAAATTTGTACTCCTTAACATCAGTTTTGATGACTTCCTTAAAATTATCACTAAAACCCTGAAAATTGATTGATACAAAGTTTAAAAACATTGGGTTCATTTCCAGGCTTAGAAGTAAGAAGCACCATCACAATTAGCTTATTGAACTAATGAGTGAAACCCTCTAGAAATGAAACTAATACAATTGAAATCTGTTATATTGAAACTAACAAGACACCTTTAAATTCAATTTCTATAGTTCTTTTCTTTTAGTACACTAATAACCTAACCCTTTCATTTCCAAGATCTCATGAGCACTTCTCCTTCCTGTAGACAATTCTCTCAATTTAAGTTCAGAGAATTTGATTTTGGGGTCAATGGATAATCTCCTAACCGCCTCCCGGTTAGCTCAATTGGTTAGAGTGCGGGATTGTGTTGTGTGGGAGGTTAAGGGTTCAAGCCCTGGCCGGACCAATACTCGTGATCTTAAAAATAACTGAGGAAAATTTGCTACCTTTTTCTATAATCAAGAATTGGATAGATATTCTAGTCTTCTCAGATAAGGACGAATAAACCATAGGCCCCATCTCGTGCAGGGTTAGGGGTAGGAGACGTTAAATTCCCATGCACGAGATTACTGTATCGTGGATGTCCTCTCTGGACTGGGATGGGTGGGAATTGACCCTGAAAAGCCCCTATGGGGAGTGGTCAACTAACCTGTACATACATATACATATTTTTCTTGTTTCTCATTAATGATTGGATTCATATTGTATTGATATTGAAAGGAGAAATTCTGTCACTCATGGGAATAAAAGGGTCAAGTACTAGACTTCCCTGTGTGGATCTTCATTTCATTTCTCTTGAAACTTTGAGACAGATAGTCAATCAGTCAATAAAGGGGATAAGTTTCTAAAGAAACTGTGGTGTTGTGTCTATGGGGCTAACAAGGTATTTTGGTTTTATCAACTAAGTTGAAATTGTAAATTGGCTTCCATAAAGAGTTAAAAGCTGATGTTTCGTGCATAATTTAGCTCTTCATCAGAGCAAATTGAGGAATTGTGGGTTTTGTGTACATTTATGTGCAGAAAGTGGAGCTATGAATTTCTCACAAAGGAGCTATGCCAGGAAATCCATAACTCCACTTTCTGCACAGTAACACACACACAACCCACAATTCTTCCATTTCCTCTGATGAAAGGGCTAACTCTTGAAATATCAGCTTTTTTAAACTCTTTATAGAGGCCAATTTACAATTTCAACTCCCTTGATTTAACCAAATTACCTAGTAAATCAGTTGGTTTGATTACTTGTGCAGGGTTCACATTAAAGAATTTAATAGATGCATGATCTAAACTAAATAGGCAGCTGAATTGAATTATGCTGGTATGTTGTAAAGCAATATGCCTTTCCAAGGGGGTTCATGGATAAGTTCAAGGATCAGTTCAAAAACACTTAATTTCTGTCTGATCACAATTCACAGGGTAGCTGGTGCAAAATGTTCTGACAACTATCAGGTTTCCATCAGCTACCAGCTTCTGGTGACAACCTTGTTTGTCTGTGTGTCTGAACACCTTTTGCATTTTCTGTCTTCTTTTCTTTTCATCTAAGTTGTTTTTCTGTCTACACCAAATGTGTGTTCTAAGTCTTAATAATATTTTTTGGGTCTTAACACAAAAAGTAAAAAAATGGATGTGTTTAAATCCCAAGAGCTTGTATCTTTTTTGCTGTCTCTGCAAAAAATGTGTTAAATTGATTTTCCAAAACTCTTTGCAGAGATAATAATAATTTCTTCGTTAATGGTTACAGCATATGTATAGGCAACACTAATGGTAAAGAAAAGTGCTAGTAGTAACAGGAAATTATAAGTGATCTGGTGATCACTGCCTCTTGCGTAAATGATTCGAGCACCACCGAAAAAAGCGTTAGATTTGGCTTTTGAGAAATACAAAGCATTGGAAATAACTGAAACTTGAGTAATAAACGGCATTTTTACAGACTAATCTGGAGCAACTTCAGCTTCCGTATAATTTTTATAGCTAACGTCTACAAATTAAACACTACTCATGCATGTCCCAAAAAATGAATTATTTCCGCTTCCAATATGTATGTTTGTAACATAGATATTTCAAGAAATCAATAGCTAACATATAATAATAAAAAAAAAAGCAGATTACTTACATGCGCATACAAAATCCAAATAAACAAAGTGGTTAAGAAATCGAAGAGAGCGAGAAGACAGAAAAGCCGACGAGCTGGGGAAAATCTGCGATGCGGTGCCGAAGTAGACAGAGTTGACACAGGATAACTAGTGCTGGAGGCAGCATAATGGCTACCTGATTCTGCATCATAATTCTGACTAACAAAAGAGCTCATCATTATAGAGCACTAGAAACATAAATCACATGGTACGATTACAAATTCTTCTTGGGGGAAAATGGAAAGCGGAAGGAGAGAAAGGATGTCCAGGTTGAAAAAGACTGGTAACAAACTCCAGTCCGCTAACAACCAAAATTGCAGTCTTATTAGTTTTAGTTGGCAGTTTGAAAAATGGCGGCTACAGTAAATTCTAAAGTGGACGAAATAGAGAGGTTTCAATGTTTTCTGTGTTACGTGGCATGCTGAACGCATGAGTATGCATTTTTTATTTTAGATTGACGGTGTTTCTTACTAGGAAACCATGTTTGATTGAATATGATTTTACAGGATCTTTCAAGATATCGCAAATCACAGCCAAAATGTCGACAAAAATCTTGAGATCTTCAACAACGAGCATGTCAATCATGAACTGCAGCTACAAAAGCACAAGGTAAAATTTTTGATTTAATCAAAGCTATGCTCTCATAAGATCGATGGATACCTGAAGGCCCTTTTTGCAGAAATGAGGTGCCCAGCTCTCAAATTAAAACTTTCACAAAAGCAAAGTTTTTCTCAGAAGACAAAAGGGATCAGTTATGTGTTGCATCTGAGTCAGTTGAGAGGGAGCGAAATTCTGATTATTGGATTTTACCGATTGTAAACCTTTCTAAAAACATCAGCAGAAATAATAATAATAATAATAATTTAATATTTATATTGTGCAAATTAACATGTGGATATGATCAAATGCACATCACAATACTTTTCGGGGGACTTTGGGCAGACTACATGAGCAGTTTACAAATCAAAAATTGAAGTAAATTTAAATCCAATTAAAACAAGTTTTGTTTCTCCACATTTCTTTCTTTTCTTTGCAGAATCATCTTGCAAGTCTTAAAACTATTTTGATAAGGTTACAAACTCAATCTCGTTTTTTGGAAATGGCAAAAGAAAACTGGTCTCCAGCTGGTGATCTTGAAATGACTGGTGAGCAATCATACAATATTTAATAAATAATATAATAATAATANTTTATGGAAATCACAACACAGTTATTTTTGTGAATGTCATGAATGTTGCGATCGGTCAATTAAACTACCACTGTAATCTGAAGTCTGTCGACATTCGATGGAGTAAAATCTCTTCAAAGCTCATCAAGCTGACAAACTCTTCCAGACCTGGTGCTGTTAACATCCGATAAAAAATAAAAACAAACACGCAACTCGATAACAGCGCCAGGTCTGCTAGCTTTTCTCCGAGCGAGTTTTTTCTTGTTTTTTAATTTTACACAAAGTGGGCCTTTTTTGCTTTAATAATGAATTGGCAGCCTTAAAGTAGAAACAAGAATCCGGATTTGGATTTTCCCAACGAAACGCACCTAAAATTCCGAGAAAATCTACTGAACCGTGACTTGGCTGGAATTTAATTAGACTGATTGTCTCGCACTGCACACTGTCAGTTGGCAAATATTGTCATTTCAAAAAATATATTTCGGCCGCTTATGTAAACTTAGTAAACAGAAAAAGTCATGGCATTATTTACGGACACAACTAAAATGCGGCGCAAGATGTTGTCATGCTACGATAATTTGGCCTCATAACATTGTCCTTTTCCCTCAGGAGCTTTCTGCTAAACAATATTTGGTATAAAAGCTCAATTTATCATCATCAGAACAGAGGAACCAATGGTGGTGCTTGCCCATTGGGCAAGCTGTGATAAGAAAACGCTACCCCGACAAGTCATTCCACTAGCCCCGGGCTATTGGACAGCACTTTCCTGGCACCCTGAATAATCAGGGGAAATTCTGTCCTGGGGCCCATTTCTCAAAAGTCCCGGTAACTTAACCCGCTGATAAACCTGTTCTGTTTTCATTCAGGATAGTGATTTCAAAAGTTTTGAAAATGATACAATAAAACTAGCAGCTAAAGAAGCAAAAAGGACTGGTTTGTGTGCCAGAATCTGCTTTCCTATCCTTTAAATTTTGATTTTAAAACATGGCTTGGGGCCCATTAAGGTACTGGGACTTTCGAGAAACAGACCCCTGGTCACTAATGGTTAAGAAAAATGGGAAATATGTATGACATCATCAAAGCAGTCTATTCTCTCCTTTTATTCAGTCATGCTGTTGTTCCTGTGATGATTAAACAAGTGGTAAATGCCACAGCATGCACTATTGAGCTATGGATGCATGCGGGAGGTTGCTAAGCACGAAAGAAGCGTAAGAGTCGTGCGAGGCGATAGCTGAGAGCGACTCTAGCTTCTTGAGGGCTCAGCAAACCTCCCAAGTGCATCCATACCTCAATAGTGTACGCTGTGGTGTTTACCATTTGTTTTATAACATAACATTAACACACTGTAGCTAGAGTTCCCTTTTATTTAACAAATCTTACGTGACCAGAAAAAAACAAGCGCGCGCAGAAAAATAGTCTTTGCATTAGCTCACGTCAGCAGTGTACACCCATGGGCAAATGGGGGACACTAAATTGACCAATCAGAACATGCGCTTTACTTTGGTTATGTTATAATTCTATTTAGAGCACCAATCAAATGTAAGGAGTGAAAACAAGAGGGATAAAGTGATGATTGAGGAGCTTGAGACACAGATCAATGATATGGCAGAAACTCTCTGCACCAGTTAGTTGAAGATAAACTTGTGGTTTCTTAGAATTATTGTGGTAATTAATTGAGGTATTTTGGCAACTTGAAAGTATTGTCACCAGATTTACTGACCCTGGTTTTCTGATCATTTGAAACACTGTAAAATTTCTATACCTGAAAACTTGAATTATCCATTTTTCATACATATACCCTTGTCCAGATTTTTCATAACTTGGTTCAAGTGTAGGTTTAATTTAGATACCATAAAATTTTTTCAAATTCTGGCTGATCAGAAGGTGAATATCTCACTGTCTCCAGGCTTTCAACTTCTCTGATCCCATCAGAAAGCAGAATACTAGTCATGTCGGCAGGTTTTTATGCCAAGTGGATGTCATTGTTCAAATAGGTCTTTTCAATGATAAATAATTGCTGTAAATCCCAAACCAAAATAAATCAGCTAGGGTTGCCGCTAAGCGCCAGCTGCTGGTGAAATTTGCCAAATGAAAAAGCTGAAGTTGTTAGCTGGATTTTTGGCCAGTGATTGCTTGGTAAAGCACAGAGGGCACCTCCGAGGTTACACTCTTACTATCGTTCACCATCTTTGAGCCTCCTCACTTGAAATTTTAGCCAGCAGCATAATTTCTTAGTTACAACTCTGATCAGTGCCAGTCAGACCAAAGGAAAACTGTGTAAAGTGCCTGATGGACAGGAAAATGCAGGTGACTGAGTTGCAACTAGTTTTAGTTTTGAATCTGATTGGTGCATGTTTTCTGGACCAATCACTAGGCAAAGTAAGGCAAAACATAAGCGATCCTGGGTCTCTAATTTTTACTTTCAATTGAAAACTACACTATACTAATTTTGTATTAACTTGGTAGAACATAAAATTTTGAAAGAGAAGCTGGACCTTTTGGAAAATAGACTTGTCAGCACAAAAGACAAGGTAAAATAAAAAGGTCAAATGTAGTCTATAAAATTTAGAGTGACTTTTATTTTCATTACTTATTACTACAGTCATGTTTTTTAGAATTGTGATCACAAAATGAACTTATATGACTAAGAATATATGAAAATCACATACTTGCACTGTGGTTTTAAGAATGTATATGAGAGCGATCCTTGCCCAAAGTAGTAGTGAAAATACGAACTGAAAAAATTCAGGCCTGTACGGGTTTTGAACCCATGATCTCTGCAACACGGGTGCAGTGCTCTTCCAACTGAGCTGATAAGCCAATTGGGAGCTGGTCATTATGTTGGTTTGTATTAAACCTGTGAAGTGATGAATCACTGACTAAGAATACATGAAAATCGTATAAGTACACTTCGGTTTTAAGAATGTATATGAAAGGAATCCTTGCAGTAATAAACACTACTCTTAAGTATGGGAAAAACGTCACAAGACCCTAATTTTAAGTGTGAAGGTACAACTATTCCTCTGGTAGAGGAGATGCAGCTTCTGGGTGTTACAGTCAATAATAAATTGAAATGTGAAGGTCAGATTAAGAACATATGTCACAAGTAGTGAGCCAGCAGATCGCTGTTCTGAATAGGATGAAGAAACTGCTTCCTTTAAAGCTGCTGGAGAATCTTTATAGAGCATTCATAGCTCCTCATTTTAATTTTTGTGCCGAATCTTGGCATTTTTGTAGTAATCGCTTAATGAAAAAACTAAAAAAAAACTAAATGAGCAGGCACTCTGCTTCGTTTATTAGGATAAAAGTTCTTTTTATTAGACCTTTGTTGCTAAGAATGGAAATAACACATTAGCTAACCAAAGACTTGGAAAGGTACCTGCAAGTATTTCAAGTTATTGACTACACACAATTCTAATTATAATTTACGTGGTGATGCTATTTTAAAATTACCTAAAGTTAATTCGACGAAGTATGGGATTAAGTGGTGGAAATATCAAGCTGCCCGACTATGGAACACTATTCCTAATAATTTGAGAAATATGGATACCTATTGCAGTTTTAAATGTGAACTCAAGGAGCTCGACCTTGCAGGTTTATAGCTCCCTATTCTTTGTATTTAACTTAGCTTTCTTAGTATATAAGCATTAGAGTTTTATAATTGTAGTTGGTATATACTATATCATTTTAAACACTTTAAAGGCAAAGCAATCTCTTATCGCAATTTATTCTTGTTTTTATAAGTTAATAGTTCTATAAATTTAGGCATTTCCCAGCTTCTAACTTTATTTATTTATCTTTTCTTTTTGTGACTGACCTGTAAAGTAGCTTTATATAGCTAAGTGTTAGCCACGTTAAATAAAGTATGTAGTATGTATGTATGTATGTATGTATGTATGTATGTATGTATGTATGTATGTATGTATGTATGTATGTATGTAGTGAAACATAATGACCAGCTCTCAGTTGGCTTGTTAGCTCAGTTGGTAGAGCACTGCACTGGTTTGGCAGAGGTCATGGGTTCAAATCCCACACAGGCCTGAATTCTTTTCAGGTCATATTTTTTACTGATTTTACATATTTACTGCAAGAATCACTTTCATATACATACAAATTGAACATGTTTGCCAAGACAATGTTACCATGACTAAGTCATATTTATTTAAGCCACCTTTCAGGGTGGAGGATTCTGTAATGAGGTGGCAACTTCTTGATCTTTTGCCAATTAACTGAAACCATTTCATAGCCTTCAACATAAAAATTTTAAAATGATTCAGGCAAATTGAAATAAAAAGGTAAGCCCTATATTCAAGCTAAGTGGCCTGTAAGAGGCAAGAGCTTTACCTGGCTTCTGTTACTTAATGTAACCAGCACTATTGCTACTATCCCTAAATGAGACGCTACTCCATTGCAGATTAAATCCTCCTTCCTCTCCCCAGCATTTGTTTCAGGCTTCCCTGACAGTTTGCCACTACCCAGTTCTATTCCTGGGTGGAGAGAGGCACTGGGAGAGTAAAGTGTCTTGCCCCAGAACTCAATTTAATGATCTATGCCTAGTTGTTCAAATGGCAGGTAGCACTATCCACTAAATAAATTGCTATCCAGAAGGTAATTGTTAATAAAATGTACTGCGCTATCCTCCGGATACAGATTTATTCAGTGGATGGTGCTATCCAACCTTCTGACCGCCTCCCAGTTAGCTCAATGAATAGAGCGCTGGACTGTTGTGTGGGAGATCGAGGGTTCGAGCCCTGGCTGGACCAATACTCAGTCTTAAAATGATTTAGAAGAATATGCTACCTTTCTATAACATCAAGAAATGGTTAGATATTCTAGTCGTCTCGAATAGGGATGAATAAATGGAGGTCTGGTCTCCTGCAGGAGGGGCAGGAGACGTTAATTTTCCACGCACGAGATTACTGTGTGATGGATGTCCTTCCCCAGGGTGGGATGGGTGGGTTGGGTTTAGGTGGATGAACCTAGTAGGGGACTGCGTGTCCTATTGTTCTTTCACCTGTACAATGTACAAATCTTTAGAAACAACCAATTGGGGCCTGGAGTCTAGCATGCTGACCATTAGGCTACTGTGTCTCCAGGAAGGGTGACCTTAAATGGAAAGATATAGGTGTTGTTTGATCTGGCCTCTCACTCTAGCAGGTAATAAACACCAACACATTGTATATCAGAACACAATAAAATCTAATAAAATCACTGTTAGTTATTCACAGTTTTACAACTTTTTTGTTCTTAGAGAAAGAACTTTGAGATGCTAAAAGAGAAGCTAGAGGAAATGGGCAACAAAGTGCAGGAAAAGGTAACTATATTAAACCTTGAACTCCCAGAAGCAATTAACATGTTACTTCTCCCTTTAATACCCATACATTATCCAGCAAACAGGTAATGAGAAAATTCAAAACTATCTGGTAGAAGTCATCTTGATCTAACACAAAATTCTCATAACTAATTTACAAGAAAATGTGTAGCAACTAGTGGGGAGAATTAAAGATCAGATCTTAGGAGTTAAAGAGTTAAGCCATGGTCAGCCTTGCCCATCTATATCTTATCGCCAAAACCACAATCCTTCCTGTTAACAGCTGTTAATGAAAATTGGGATGAGCCAAAACAACTGCAGAAAAGGGTGCATTCAAGCACTTGTTACTTTTCTTTCTTTCTTCATTTTAAAAAATAATAAAATAACTTGGATTCATTCCAGAGCTCATAATTAGTCAGCTAGAAGTAAGCAGCCCACAAGGTTTTATAATCAAATGGCTCTTTTATCACCTTGAGTACCACTAGCCAAACAAAGTTTTTCTCGTCTGAAAATGACAATTCGGATAAAAATTAATTGTTTGCTGGAATTAGCAAATTCTCCTCTACAAAAGTACTTTTGAATTATGCCTTGCTTGAGCCTATCAACTCCCCTCAATTTTTTTAGTGTGCTTTGCTCCCTCAATACATCAAACAGGGTTCGTACCCGTCTTGAAAACCCTTGAAAACCCTTTAATTTCAGGAGGCCGATTTCAAGACCTTGAAAGTACTTGAATTTCGTTTTGGGTCCTTGAAAGTCCTTGATTTTTTATTGAACAACATCGAAAGATATCTGCTTTTGTTTTGCACCATCGGTAAACCCAAAACATAGATGTTAACAGAAACTTTTTTCTTGGTTTTGAGATAAAATTGTCATTACAAAAAGTCCTTGAAATTTCTAAGTAGGGTCCTGGAAAGTCCTTGAAAAGTCCTTGAATCTTTGGCCTGAAAAAGTGCACGAACCCTGATTCAAAGTTCAATTATTCTTTTCTCCAAATGCAAAGATAAATGAGCAAATGCAAAGGATGAAGGGCTTATGGTTAAGAGTTTACAACATTTGAATGTTCTTTGAAACTACAGTTCATTACTTTGAAATCTCACCATCAGCCAGTTCACGTTAAGCAGGATTTGAGCTTTAATCTTGAGGTGGGAATCGAAAAATCTGTATGCGATGACTGTTGCAGTCAGACACAACTAGTTCTCCCTGTTTTCCAACTGCAACGGAGTATGGCAAACAAAACTTTCCCTCTTCTTCCTCCCCAAAGCCTCCAAAGCTCTTTACAAAGTTTCCATCAGAGTCAAGGACTTGGATGCGACAGTTGCCAGAATCGCACACAAGTATGTTCCCTCCTGAATCCACAGTCAGTCCTCGTGGCTTGATGAATTGCCCTGGCTCTCTTCCTGATCTTCCAATCTGCTGAAGGTAGACGCCATGACGGTTGTAGACCTTGAGGCAGTGATTAAATGTGTCAGAGACAATAAATCGCCCTTTATGGAAAACTGCAGATGATGGCCAGCCCAGCTTTTCTCTCCCATCTGCTCCAAATTCAAGGCATAGATGTCCACTGTGATGAAACACAAGGACCCGTTCATTTGAAGAGTCAGTGACAATTATACGTCCTTCATTATCAACTGATACTCCCTCCACTTTGTTTCCCAGTTCAGCCTCGGTGTTCAGGCTCCTAATCAGACGACCTTCAGAGTCCAATACTTTGATTTTGTGAGTTTCATCATCAAAGGTTACAAGGTGATGATCAAGGTCAAAAGCAATGCCAGTGGGAAGGTGAACACTCTCCACTTCATCGTCCGTCAAAAAATGGAGGAAACTGCCTTGAGAATCAAATACTTGAATCCTGTTGTTAGCATGATCAGCAACAGCGATACAGCCATCATCCCGTATGGCCACCCCCCACGGGAGGGTGAATTCACCCTCCTCGCACCCAGGTGTTCCAAAAGCACGAATTTCTATGTCATCTGATAAGTAATCATTTGAGTGAACGTCAGAACTCGCTGAGTCTTCATGGGAAGAATGGACTTCCAGTTTTCCAAGCTTAGTTAGTTGTTCACTTTCGCTAACACTTGGGTTGTGAATAAAGACAATGGGATCAATTTCTGGTATGTCCATTGACAACTCTGTACCATCAATTTCTCGCAGCTGAGATAAAATAGAAGCTTTAGCTTCAACAGGCATCTTCGGGGAGAGTACATTGATCTGTTGCAGGGCATCATTGAGTATTCCATTTTCACGTGCTATTAAATTCTGCATCACTTCTTTCTGCTGTCTTAAATCTCTCTGCTGTCGAGCCACAGCCAAATTAAGGTCTTGTATAAGTTCTTCCTCTCTGGCTCTTACCATCTGCACAATTCGTTCTGCAGCTTGCCGAATGTCACCTTCAACTTGCTGCCTTCGGTTACCAAGGCTCTGTGATATGTCCATGATCGTGGACAGGAATCCCTCCTTGACTTGCAAAGTCTGCTTGCATTCATTCACACGATCCTCCACCTCCTTGATGTCTCTGATTTTACTTTTCCCAGATATCAGAGAAATCACGATGTAATTTGTTGGCAGATTGTCAATGCCCCCCGGAAAATCGATCTCAGTTTCTCGCCTACAGGTAGGGCAACGCAAGAAGGGTTGACGCCGATGGTGTTCCACCATCTGACTCAGACACTGTTTGCAGACTGTGTGGGAACAACAAAGATTCTTTGGTTCTTCGAATTCCTCCAGGCAAACCGGACATTTCAACTCTTCCTCCAAAACACGAAACAAATGGCCTTGATCTCGAATCCAACTCATCTCTTTCTTACGAGTGGAAACGAGCCAACGGACGAAGCTACAAAACGAGCCAACGAACGAACCTACGAGCCAAACGCTGTAGTTGAAGAAAAACTGGCTGATGCCTTAACAGGTCGAAAGCTGACCGACTCGGTGATTTATATCCTCTAATAGGGCTCCAGATACACTGGTGTTAAGATTCCTCTAAATTCACAAAATTGTCTCGTCGAATCACGCCTTCAGTTCTCAAAAGGTCGATCGATGACACGTTTTGATAGCTGCATAGGATCAAATCATAGCTATAATTCTATAAAAACGGTAGCATTCGTCAGCGCTTTAGATTTCCTTTCGATTTTCTCATCAACCGCCACTCCGCCAAAACAGAACCAAATTTCTCTTCACGTCCAAACATAGTTCACCCATTGATTACTTCGCTGAAGTTGAAATTTTAAACCCTGGGGCTTTAGGTTTATGTCAACATCACATTCTATTCTCTTCATCTCCCAATCAAGATTGTTATTTTAGATTTACCCTCAGGCAAAACTATCATATGTCATAATTTGGAGTTTGATCCCCGGGAAAGTCTTGCTTTCGCCTTTTTGATTTCGACGCGACTCTTCCTTGAAAACTAAATGGGATATTTCGCATTTTGATAATGCCTCAAAGGAAACATTTACGTTAAAAATTGTTTAGACTCGGTAGCACACTCTAGACTTCCGTGTAGTTGTTTCCGCCTGCTCACGCTATCTTTAGCGTGCGACTACCTTACGCAATAGGTAACGCAATCTGTTGAGCAGTGAATAACTGGTCACAGTGTTCTGAAATCTCTCAGGCTAAGGTTTGTGCGTCTTGGAAAATTTTCTTAACTTTTTCAGGTTCGTCGACCGCAGTCCGTCTCTGTATTCTCATCCATCCATCTCATCCATATTGTCAGCCATTCTTTCTCTTCCTGGGTTTTGAATTGCCTCTTTTTTGTCTTACTATCCCGTAGGGTTAATATTTAATAAGATGATTTTGTTTTATCAACTAAATTTATAACCTTACTTGGCTACCGTAAAAGGGATTCTAAAACTGACCTCTCGAGCGTTAGCCGTTCGTCCTTCGCCCGGTGGTAGGGCTAACGCTCGAGAGGTCAGTTTTAGATTCTCTTTACCGTGGCTAAGGTTCATTTATCAACTTTTGGACTCGATAACACCACATTATCTTGTAATACACACCACCTCACTAACGTAACACCACAGTTTCTTAAGAAACGTAATTATTTTGTAGTCACCTCCACGTTGAAGGTAGTTTTACATAGCGCAAAAATTGTCGCAAAATATTGCGTGGAAGTTATTCTTAACACAGAAGTAGAAATGAAAGAAACTTTGGAAAGCTAGTGAGAAGCGTAAATGCCACCCTGTTACCACAAACACTTTTCTTTGTCCTTTTCAAAGTTCCTTTTCAGCAGGTGAAGAAGCTCTTGTCAGAGGCACGAGACTAACCCTGCAGGATGGTGGCCTCCGGCTCTCTGAATACTTTTCTGAGAATTGAAAATGAGTATTGAGAAATCTGTCCAGATTTACTACAAGTCTCTGGAAATTTAAAGAGTCGGAAATCTTCCCTCATTTCTTTTTTTTGACTTCTCGTTAGGAAAACAGCTATGGTTCGTTTGAAGACATGAAAGCGAAACAGGTCAGTGAAATTAACAAACCTTAAGATTTTTGAACATTCAGCAGAGAAAAAAGTTTAGTTAAAAAATGATTCAACGTGGAAGTGAATAACAAACTGGCAAGTAATTTTGTATTCGATAACACAACATATTGAATCTACTCCCTCACTTCCACTCAGCTGAACGCCAGCTATAGCATTTGTCATAACAGCCTGCGAGCAGGCTATCGTAAGCACTACTGAACGAGCGGCAGATCCCGCGAGATTCGAACTGGCAAGCGTTCGAGAGGTTTGTGAGGGTTTTAGAACTCACTTTTCGTGCTAGACTCCCGTGAACCTTCGCGAGCTCACGTCGCTCACCGACTTAAAACGCTCAGCTTTGCACGCTCTTGTCGCAGCACCAGTGGGAGACTGTTGCGAGGTTGTCATAAGGGTTGGAAAGTTTTGTTACTCGTGCATCTCACCCTTCCCAACCTCTGTGTATTGTTGATGAATCCTTATTATAGGCAGGAAATTTACAATTTACTCCCATTCAACTCTTACAAGACATTCACGGAAGAACAACAGTGCAGCGAATTATTCTCATGTTTCTAAAAATTTTCCAGCTAATGTTCTTGAAGGGTATATTCCTGGCCAAGTTCTCCACAAGATTTTGTACATATGATGTGCTCCTTTTTTACAGGTAGAGGCAGAATTGGCCATCCAACAGTGTACCACGGCAATTTCTGGACTTGAACACTGCAAAGGATTGTTAAAGGGCGAAGTGAGTCGTCTGGAAGAGTTTGTAAAAGAAAGGGAAGAAGAACTAAGGAGGCAAATAGAGATGACGAACGATCGTGACGAACAAGAGCGGAAAAGGCGACAATGGTAAATGACGTGTCTCTATTGTCAGTTCCTTACATAACATAAGATTTATAAGACACGATTCTCCTTCACTCCTCCGACTGATACTCACAACACTGGTGCAGTTTGCGGCGCGCGACGGCCTGGAACCCTCGATTTTAATTAATTCAACGCATGCGTGATGACATCCTCTTTCTTTCGCGGGCAAGCTTCGGTCTGTTTCACTCACAAGAAATCCGTTTAAAAATCGTCCATCCGAAACACTTTTCGCCACTTTCATGCACTTTCTGAAAAGTTAAGTGTTGAATATGCAAGCTGTTTCTTAAATTAAACAATGAAATATATCGGAAAACAACACCGTAAAACTATAGCGCTTTGTTATGCTATTTTTCGCAGGCTTAATGTCGCCTGATCGTATACCTTCCGTCAAAGTCCTGGTTTTTCCGTTCTACTTGATTATATCTCCTGCAGGTACCCATATCGCAGGTAGATAAATGCAACATTCGTCTAGAGTGCCCGCTCGACGAATATATTTTACTACAACACACACACACGCAAAAAAAAAATTACAATTGTATTATATGACCTGGTTTCTGCAGGTACCCATCTCGCAGGAACCAAATGATATGCTCATCAAGGATACCAGCTCTGATTATGCATTAGCAACATCTATACCAGTGACAAGAGATGAAATAAGTTCTCTGATTGAAAAAAAATCACTGAGACACTAAAGAGGGCTTTACCAGATATTTTAAGAAATGCATTTATGCCAGATCCTCATGGCTCCCAAGCAAATGAAGTTGGGGCACACCCACAACCCAAAAAAGCCAAAGCGGATGATAGTGAAACACCAGTCTCTGTTGTCTCTAGTCGGTCTGACAAATATTATGCACCTGCAAAAGAAACTACTATTTCTGAAGAATTAACTTCTTTTCTCAAATCTGCATTTACCAAGCAACTGTCCAAAGATGTTTGGACAAATTTAATGGAACAATATCCAAATATTAGAGAAACAAATGATTTCCTAGTGTCACCCGTAATGCAATCTGGGATGAAAGAGGACATTAAACGTGTCCATGGCCTATCTCGAACGAAAGATTTGTTCGCATTTGATGAGGGTTTAGCTGCCAAACAAGCACCCTTTATTTCTGTTATTCGACCACACGCAAAACGTAACTGACTATCAGCTGCCATCACTTCAGGACATAATACCACCAGACAATCTTGTAGCAGGTCGAATCAAACATTTTTACTCAAATTGGACACTAATTACGTCAGATCCTTGGATTCTATCCATAGTTCAAGGGTACAAAATTCCCTTTGTCTGTCAACCAATACAATGGAGACAAAGACAAACAAAGGCCAAGTCAAAAGAGGACTTAGCTTCTAGAAACGAAGCCATCTCACAACTCCAAACAAAAGGTGCAGTAAAAGCTGTACAGGAGAAACCAAATCAATTCACTTCAACACTGTTCATTGTGAAACAAACAACCAAAGAAAGGCCAGTCTTCAATTTGAAGAATCACAATCGGTTTGTCGATTCTCAGAAGTTCAAGATGGAGGGTCTGGAAGCAGTACGCAAACTCATCCAATCAGGTGACTTCATGGGTAGGAGACGTTAATTTCCCACGCACGAGATTACTCTGTGATGGATGTCCTCCCCTGGGTTGGGATGGGTGGGTTTACTGGGCCCGCAGTAATTGGCGCAAGCTGTTGCGGTGTCCCTGCCGGTCGGCGAAGCTAATAAACTAAACTAAAGTAAACTGAAGAAGTTAGATCTCCAAGACGCATGTCTTCGGTACCAATTCACGAGAGTCTCAAGAAATACCTACGGTTTGTCTTCCAAGGGATAACTTACGAATTCCAATGCCTACCATTCGGGTTATCCAGCGCCCCCAGGACTTTCACGAAACTGTTTAAACCAGTCATAATACTGCTACGGAGACAAGGAATTCGGATAGTGATCTACCTAGACGATATGCTTATTCTGGACCAAAGTCCAGAGAGACTGTCGTCAATCTTTCAGAGTGTTGTCGCTCTGTTACAACGTCTTGGTTTTCTCATCAACCAGGAGAAGTGCTCTCAAGCTCCCTCCCAGTGTCTAGAGTTCCAGGGATCCTTGATAAATTCCAAGGAGATGACGCAAGCCGTTCCAAACGAGAAACTCCAGAATCTCCAATTAGAGTGCAAGAATGCGCTCAACAATCGCTGGCTGACACTGAAAGAAGTCTCTGCACTACTAGGCAGCATGAATCGTTGGTCGCAAGTGGGTCTGGTACAGGGTCCCTTGCATTATCGTGCACTACAGAGGCAATATATCAACAGCGTTCATCGGAACGAAGACTTCTGCAACAAAGTGCGAATTTATCTCACAAGAGATTCGCTGAACGACCTCCAGTGGTGGACCTCGACCAAGATTCATTGGTTCAACAAATGCCTAATCTCCGTACCACCGTTCGACATGATCGTTTACACAGAAGCGTCCAAACGCGGATGGGGAGCTCACTCTAATGGACGCACAACGGGGGGACGATGGGACATCCAAGAATCCAGACAACACATCAACATTCTCGAATTGAGAGCAGCCCTTCTGGGCATTCGGTCCTTTCTGATGTCACAAGTAAAGATTCCACAACATGTTGCTCTGCAGATGGACAACTCTACAGCAGTAGCGTATGTCAACAAGAGAGGGGGGACACGGTCGTCGATGTTAGCAGCCTTGGCAGTGGAAATTTGGAACGTTTGTCAACAGAAAGGCACATGGATAACAGCACAACATCTTCCAGGAGTACACAATGTCGATGCGGACTGGGCTTCACGTCACTTCAACAAACGCACGGAGTGGACTCTGGACAGGGCGATCTTTTTACGCATAGTCACCAAGTATTACAGTCCGCAAGTAGACTTTTTTGCTTCTCGTGTAAATCATCAACTACCCGGCTTTGTTTCCCGACACCCAGACCCGGGTGCAATGGGGATCGATGCGATGACGTTACAGTGGAACAAATGGACATCATTCATTCATGCACCGATTGTGATCCTGCCTCGAATTCTGAAGAAGATACGCGAGGATCAGGCAACCTGTCTACTAATAGCTCCAAACTGGCCAGGGCAGTCTTGGTATCCGTTACTACTGGAGATGTTAGTGGACATCCCTGCCATTCTTCCAATGTTGGAGAAGAGTCTATATCTCCCGTTCGACCTGGAAGCGCAAGACCCATTCTGGAAAACAATGAAGCTAGTGGTATGGCCTCTTTCAGGGAACCTTGCCGAGCAGGAGGCCTTCCACCGCAAGTTTGCGACATCCTTATGGCCTCCTGGAGAGAAGGAACGAAAAAAAGATATGAAGGTCCTTGGAATCTTTGGACTAGCTGGTGTGTGTCACGGACTCAATGTCCCCTTTCAGCGGCTGTAGCAGAGGTTTTACCGTTTCTGACTGAACAATTTCACGCTCGAAAGCTTTCATACCGAACTGTTGGTGTTTACAAATCCTGCATATCTCAACTGCATGATCCAATCGAGGAACAACCACTAGGAACACTCCCCCCTCTTGTCTCGTTTTATGAAAGGCGTATTTGAACTTCGTCCACTACTGCCCAAAAACTGTTCAACCTGGTCAGTTGGGACATTATATTAGAGCATCTAAAGAACTTGCCTTCAAACGAAAGCCTCTCCCTTAAAGAGTTGACGTTTAAGACGACTATACTATTGGCACTTACGTCTTCAGCCAGGGCTAACGAACTTGCAGCATTAAATTTGGATTGTGTATCCCAGAAGGAGAACAGTTGGGAGTTTACGATTCCTCACCATGTAAAAAATTCTCGACCGAATCACCCACCAAGAAAAATTTACCTTCCATCTTTACCGGAAAATCAGAAAATTTGTGTTATCGAGAGTCTGAAACAGTTCGTAAACCGAACCGCTCGTCTTCGCAAAGACCAGCATCTTCTTGTGTCATTTACATCGTCCCACTCGGCTATCGGGAGTCAGACAGTATCACGTTGGATACGCACTGTATTGTCTAATGCAGGTATTGATGCTCTATACACCGGTCATTCTACACCAGCTGCAGCAACATCTATGGCTGCAGATTGTGGTGTGCCTCTTGAAGATATCATTGCGGCTGCCGACTGGTCATCAGCAACAACCTTCAAAAAGTTTTATCACAATCCTATCCTAAAGAATAAGTTTGTTCAAAGTATTTTGGCTTCAGGCGAACCAAAATGACATTAACTGTTTTCAGTCACATGGCGCATTCGTTTAAGACAAATGGAGATGGATTTTGATATTGTTAATCCTTGATGGTTATTGTTTTAAAATAAAAAAATTTAGACATTGACTAACAGTGTCTTTGTAATCTGCATCAGTATTGTGAGTATCAGTCGGAAAAGGAGTGAAGGAGAAATTATATTTCCTCCGAGGGTACCTACCTGAAGGGGAGATATGGTTCTCCGAGCGCCTTCGAAGGCTGATACGAGCAATACTGGTCCCCTTTCCAATGGTAGTAGACATCTATACCACCCCACCCAGGTCTGTTAATCAAATACTCAGCTTGCCACTCAATCAGAGGATGGCATTACGCATGCGTTGAATTTCATTAAAATCGTGGGTTCCAGACTGTCGCGCGCCACGAACTGCAACAGTATTGCTCATATCAGTCTTCGAAGGAGCTCGGAGAACCATATCTCCCCTTCAGGTAGGTACCCTCCGAGGAAATATAATTTCCATTAGATTGTGCGCCCTGAGGGGAATGCCTCAAGCCTCGCACAAGAGATGCGGCGTCCTTAGAGTTAAAACTAACGCTCCGTGAACAGAATCCGGTTGGAATGGTCGTAAATGAAAAGACAGCCTCGATTGCGATGGCTCCCCCCTTCTCCCGTCCTCTTCTCCATCTTTACCCTCCCCCCCACCCCTCGCTCTTTTTCTTTCCACTTCCCTCGTCGCTCCATCATCAACCAGAGAGCCTGTTTACAGGCTGCGTGGGTAACGCTTGTCTTCTGATTTAAAAGTTCTAGTTCTTGCTTTTGCTATGCTTCTCTACACCAAGGAGTATGACCAGCTACCAGAGAAATGTCAGGGAGTACTTGGAAAATTGGTGAAGGGTGGGGGAGTTAGCAATACTTCCTTTGAGTGCTCCTATTTGCGTCTCTTGATTTCTTTTCCTTCGAGCATTAAGCTCTTAGATCACGATTATGTGAAGGTGTAGTCTGATCGTCCGGGTGAGTGTAGTCCTGAGAAGGACTGTTGTCGGTGGCAGTGACTGACGTTTCGACAGCCTGTGTGGAAGTCATCATCAGAACAAAGACTACACCTTCACATGTTACCCCCGGGTTCAAGCCATTTAAAGCAGATCACGATTAGTTTTAGCGATACTCGAAATGGGCAGAAAGTTAGTAATCTGGAATGACTTAGACCCTTGTTCGTGTCATAGGCATTTAAGACGTTGTCTAAAACCACCCAACCACTTACATACTAAACTAAAACCTTCTGCGAGATGGTCCCTCGCGTTTGCCCGCTCTTCAAGCAGTTTAGTTGTATTTATTTTAAAGTTCAACTGACCCTTTGTGATAGTTACTACTATTCTGATTCGCGTAACGATTTCTTTCTTTAATCTTTTTACAACACTCAATCCAATATTGCTGTTATGTAAATCTCACTAAGCCAGGTTCCCGTTATTTGTTTATCAAGGTTGACAGATGTGGTGGAACTACACAGTCTTCTCGGAGGTGTCTCTGTGCAAAGCCTACAAGGAGACTGCGTTGTCTTGGAGATACGGAGTGACGAACATACTGAAGACCAGAGGAGAGAGGTTATTGGTCGAACTGACTCCCCCTTGATTTTGACCATTAGGTATCGTCTGGACGGAGGGACACGTCCTGTCTTCGCAGGAGCAACGGTAAAATACCTAAAAATATGTCAGTAAACATGCCTTCCTTTCAAAACGGAATAAAGGGGGGGGGGTAAGTTTCCAAAGGAACTGAGGTGCTGTGTCAGTGGGGGGGGGGAGGGGGCACTGGAAAAGAGTTTCTAAAGCTGAAGTTTCGAGCGTTAGCACTTCGTCAAAGCCAAACAGTTTTGCTATTACGGTATACACCAGTTGTTGTTCAGAGTTTCGAAAGCCTTTGATAAATTACTATTTTATTTGGACACGGAATTTTCCAGTGCGTAGCTCAGTTATGGTTCAAAAAGAGCCCGCATTTAGGTGGCACTTGTCTCTTGGCCGTGACTCAAAAATCAGGTTTCCGAGTAAAGACTGGAACCTATTTTGATTTTTCGTAACCTTATTTACCGAACGTAATAATAGGTTCCAGTCCTTACTCGGAAATTTTGGAGTATTAATTTAACAACCTTTGTTTCTGCGTTGAGTCATGCAATAAAAAGTTTTGATGAAGAAAGGTTCAGGCTTCTTTTGTCAGAGGCCGTTCATGGGTTTCATCCTGACTGGGACTAGAGAGACTCGCCTTATTTTTCACGTTTTCCTCTCGTTTTCCCAGGTCAATTTGGACTCACTGAATATTGAAGATCTTGTTGGTGAAGCCATTCTTAGTAATTGCGTCGCCGGATTTGTTTTTCAAGTGAAACGACGCTTCAAGAATCAACAAGGTCTGATCCGAGAAGTAGAGGAACTCCAAAAGAAGTGAGTGCATGGGAATGTAAAGAACAAACCAATCGGCGTATTGGAATAAGCATCGCGTTTCACGATTGCTCCTCTTTCGTCTAGAGACGACAGAGGTTGTAGAAAATTTCTGATCCACTGGAATGTTTTCGTTTCTCCAATAGCTTCCAACTGTGTTTTGCTTTGGTTTACCCATTTCCTCATTTAAGATTTTTCCAATTAAAGTTGATGTTGCAAAAAGTTAGAGTTTCTAGCAGTTCGATTCAGTTAATCAAATAAAAGTTATGAGACGTTGTTGTTAGAGAAGTTTTGTATTGAATGACATGAATCGAAGATAACTCATGACGGTCTTCAAAGTACGAATGCACTTGTGCTTTTTTTCCTGTTTTGTTTTTTGTTTGTTTG